ATATATATACCAACCCAATGCATAACAACTAAATCTTGGAACCAGCCTGTGTGTCCAGCAACAGATGAATGAATGAAGAAAACATGGTATTAATGCACTATAGAGTACTACTCTTCCATAAAAAAGGACAGATAAGTTATGCATTTTGAGGCTGTGATTTCCCCCCCACCCCACCGGGGATGGAACTCATGACTTGCACTTAGCAGGTAAGTGCTTGAGCCACTGAGCTAAATCCTTGGACCGTGAAAGGCCATAATATTAAGTAAAATAAATCACTTTAAGAGTCTCTGTCTGCAATTGATGCTTTTTGAGATTTTCCTAAAATTTCAGCTGCCTGTTTTCTTGGTAAATGTAGGCTTCCTGGGAGCAAGGAAAATAAGGGGACATACACACAAAAGGCTGCATCCTGCACACAAAAGGACATACACAGCAAAACGGCTACATCCTGACCAGCATAATCAAGCAGCTTTAATAGAGATACAAAACAAAGAAACTCATATTGACATGATTAATTATATAACTTGTTTACCTCTTGTCCTCATGGGACATCATGCTTTTATCTTGAGAGAATATTTTAAGAGCTGAACTTTGTATCAAGACACTGTCAGCTAGATGCATCCAGGACAATGTGGAGTCCATATGGGCTTTCTACAAGTGAACATAAATATTTTCAGAGTTTCAGCTGAACTTTCCAGTTCCTCACACTCTCATTGAGTTAGCCTTCCATTCCCAAAGGTATACTCCTCCATGGGACATGTCCTGCAGTGTTTCAATCACAATTAGCACCATATGACCATAGCTCACCTCTTTCCAGCTATGTCCCAAACACAGTCCTGGCACTGAGAGGTAAACTGCATCTCCAGGCTGACAAGATGGGTGAGAACTATGCCATGCTCCATAACCACACACAGACTGACATCACATGCCCACCCTGGGTAGTGCCCTCCCCTCAGGCCTCATATCAAATGTTGCCCTGCATCGTGGGCATCATAGTCTTGGAACTCAGTCTTCCTAGCCTGTGTCATGCTCATGCCACTCATTCTCATCTTGTCTTTTACAGGACCCTACATTCAGTGATTTGACCTTTCAATAAATTAAGTGTTTGAGGAAAGAAACTTTCAACGCCTGTATTTTATGGCTGATGTTTTTCCTGCTATAACAAGAAAGGGTATGGAAGGTTGACAGATTAGATAGACAGACAAATGGTGGCAGCTGTGAACTGCAGATATAGGTTCCTGCTCAGAAAACAAACATTTATTGTGAGAATCATGGGGAGTTCCTTATTGCTTCTTATAAACTTATCTTTGGGATGCACATTCCCATGAATGCATGGATAAACCAAGGCTGTAAAAGTCTATGAAGACAAAAGTTAAGAAGTACACACAAGGCTGTGGATTTAGCTCAGCAGCATAAGCGCCTGCCTTGCAAGCATAAGGTTCTGAGTTTGATCTCCGGTACCAAAGAGAAAAAAAATACACATACACTACATGTATATGTTAAAATATTACACTGAAGCCCATTTCAGTAATACATATTACTGAAAAGTAACATAAAAGGTACTTGTGGATTTGGATGAACATCTTTTAATCCATGAACAGTATATGTTACCAAACATGGAATGATAAAAGATGTTCTTTGACAGGTGGGAAAAATCCTTAATGGATGTAATAATGATGTGCTTTCCATTATGCCAGACTGGACATGTCCTGAGTAGGTTGTTCCAGTGGTCATTCTCCAGAAATTATATCACCCACTGGCCACAGAGGACTCAATGTCAGGAGATTAGAGTGACCAGCACCATGAAACACTGGCTTTTACTATGGGTACTAAAGTTTTGATGTAGATCTGTACCCAAGATATGGACTCTAAATTTGTGAATTATTCAAAAACTGACCAAAGGAAAAGAAGTGATACAACTGCAATGGACTTTAAAGCAACCATGAAAAGTACTTTGTACATAGGATGGTGTGCTAAATTTTAAGTAGTTATGCTGACAGTTGAGCATACTCAGAGGCTGTGCTCCATGTGATTCATTTGTGTGGGACTCTAGCAGTGATGGGATTCTCCTGAGAGAAAATAAGTGTTGTTTCAAAGCATAGGTGGAGGCAAAAAATTGACTGAAAGAACACAGGCTTCCATTAGGACCAAAATAAATATTTTCATATCTTGATGGTGATGATGTTTACATAATTTGACATTTTTTGAAACTTCCTGAACTGCATAGTTAATGTGTGCAGAATTGTTGTGAGTAAATTGTACTTTAGTGAACCTGGGGAAAGAAAGAATAATTTAGCCAGTAAGAAGTAAAATGCTACATGAGGTGTTCAAAATGCTAGGTTTTCCCTGAGGTAGGGGAAAGTTTCATGCTTGTGAAGGTTCTATGGTACGGGGTGCAATCCACTATGTGACACTAGTTATTTATAGAAATTATGTTCTGTTGAAAAATCACAGTTGGGTGATGTGCTCTTCAGACCATAGAACCCTACCCTATGTTAGTCTTGTGAGAATTTTTAGAAAATATGAAGACAACTGGGCCTTGTGGCACAGGCCTATAATTCTAGCACTCAGGAGTCTAAGTCAGGAGGATTGCTATGAATTCAAGGCCAGCCTGAAATTCAGAGTGAAACCTTGTCTCAAAAAACACATAAGCAAAAACAAAACTTGAAGAAATACAAAAACAAATTCAACAGAGATAAAATTCCAAGAAGAGAAGGAATGAGATGATAACTGATTTGACAGTGGAGGAAATCTTGAGGATCTCGTGTCTAGATTTGGGGCCTAATGTGATTTGTGTCAGTCATATCTGCATGATAAGTGGGATATAAAGTGAAAACTGATAGGTAGGTTCCAAAAATGACACAAACACCATACTTCAAAATGTTTGTCATTAGAACACAGGTTATATAGGCTGACTCCTTTTTTGTTTTAGTATTTTTACTTTTTATCTTAAAGAGGATAAAACAGAATAAAGTCAGTCATAACAAACCAGTGTAAGAGATATAGGTCTAAAAACATTATGAAGTCAACAATAGCTACCATAATGCCTTTTGACATCTTCAAAATAGCTCCAGATAACTTCAGATATAGTAAAAATCAAACAGAATAGAATAGAAACAGTAAAAACAAAACAATAAATGCAATAAAGAACTTCAAAACAAGCCAGTAGTAAATCCAAAATTACTACTATAATATCTCTTGTTATCTTTGAAATAGCTGCACCTGCCATCAGATTTCACATCATCAAACAAACAAACAAAAATAAAATAAAACCCAACCCACCAAAGCAATGGAAATGATATAGGACTTCCAAAACAAGACCATAGGGAAGGCTACAACCTTCAGAAGGAGAATCCCCTTGGATGTCACACTGAGTACCACTATCCTCTGAACATACGATCAGACCCCTGGCACTAGCCCTGCAACATTAGTGACACACAAAAGCACTACAGGCATGAAATTTCATGTCACCTCCATAATTATCATCAGGGGCTGGGTCTGGTTGCTCCAGTCAATGGGGCAACATGCATGGCACTTCTTCCCAAACGGGGTTTGCTTGCTGGTGTGACATCCTCCAGGCTGACTCTAAATTTCCCAGCCCAGGCTGGGCTCCAAGTTACAGTCCTCTTGCCTCAGCCTCCATAGTAATGGGATCCCAGGGCCATGCCACCACACATGATGAATGTATCTTCTCTTTAAAGTAGGATATGAAAAGCAAGTCTACTTCAGTTACTATACTAGCAATGTTTATAGGAGCAATGTATTCAGAGTATTCTGTCATCCACTGGATGAATCAGATTGTTTCGGAGCCAACCTTCATGAGCCTCAGGTGCTAGATGCTACAATATTACTTCACCTAATGGTTCCTATTTTATGAATACTCATTATATCCTCATTACAATATTAGTATGGGAAAGTACTGTATGACCTCATTATATATAAAGGAGTTGTGCTCAGAGAAGCATGGGATAGAATCATGATCCTATTAGGTGAAATAAAAACTCTGTGAAGACTTTGAATGTAAGTTCAATGTGTTGCTAAGTCAAATATAACAAACAAAATCCTTTTTTGTTTCATTTAATGGTCAGCTACCAACTAGCTACCCAAATTGCCAGAGCACGTTTATTTTGAAGATTTATTGCCAAACTTCTTTTTTATCTTTGGAAGCTAATTTGATTTTTTAAAAATTATTGTTCACAGTGACAAATTTAATCATTTACAGAAACTGCATTGTTTACCTCATGTTGTCATTTACCCCATAAGAAGTTCGTTTCTAACATAGAGCATGTTATATTCACCTGTTACCAAGAACCTCAGAGTCTAGTAGAGGAAATGCCCAAACAGATTAAACTAATGAGATAAATATAGAATAATGATGAATAAATGTATGGATGAACCGATGAACCATTTGAATACATGTTTGTTTATCTTGTTCAATGTGACAATTTATATAGAGCCAGTGAATAAATTAGTTATATAACTGAGGATATTGGAAAATGTGAGCTTTATCTAAAAAGTTGTCTTATAATCTGTTACCACACAAGTGATGTTTATCATCATGTTTACAATTGACATTATCAATGACACCAGTAAGTTAAATTTAATGCTCAGTACCAAACACTGCTTTATGAAAAGTCTTTGCAATCTTCTCTTGCTGTCTATATAGATGTAAAGTTCACAAGTTAGTATATTAACATAGAATATTTTAAAACATCTTGAAATAACCTCTTTATATTAATACAAATGGAAACAGACACATTAAGATACTCACTCCAATAAATTGAAAGAAAAGTTTGAAGGATAATGTTCTGTTAATGAAAATGTTTCCTCTCCGTAATGTTTTAAAATATGTCAGTAAAAATGAGAACCAAATTTATGGTGAATCATTTTCTGTTTAGTGAATTGTAGAGACAGCTATACCTCAAATGAGCAAACAAATTATCCTCCGAGTAGACCAGAGCTTTCCAACAAAAATTTCAGAACACAATTTCTCCATCATGGTCCTATTCCCACCTCATCAGTCTCCTCACTGCCCCTCTTACATCTTTGTTTCTGAGGGTGTAGATAAGAGGATTGAGGCTGGGTGTGACCACTGTATAAAAGAGGGCAATGAATTTGTCTTGCTCTTGAGAATTTTCTGTTGGAAACTGCAGGTAAATGCACATTACAGGAATGAAGAAGAGGGAAACAACCAGAAGATGGGCTCCACAAGTCCCAAACACCTTCTGAAGTCCAGAGGTAGAAGATCGCATCTTCAGCACTACCCGAGCAATGGCACCATAGGAACTCAGGATGAGAATAAGTGGGATGACAACGAAAATGGAGCTCATGACCATGAGAGTCAGCTCATTTGCACGAGTGTCAACACAAGATAATCTAAGGAGTGCCGGGACTTCACAGAAGAAGTGGTCCACTTGGCGATGTTCACACAGGGGTACCCAGAAGGTAAAGGAAGAATGAAGTGCTGAAATAGTGAAGCCACTGACCCAAGAGGTCATAGCCAATAGGTGGCACAAACGAGGGTGCATGAGTACAGTGTAGTGCAGAGGTTTGCAGACAGCTGCATAACGGTCATAGGACATCACCACTAACAGGACACACTCTGTAGTTCCCAGGGCAAGGACAAAGTAAAGTTGAATCATGCATCCAGCATAGGAGATGGTCTTCTCCGGACCCCAGAGGTTAATCAGCAACTGGGGGATGGAGCTGGTGGTGTAGCAGAGATCCAAGAAGGAGAGGTTAGAAAGAAAGAAGTACATGGGAGTGTGGAGACGGGAATCCAGGTGTGATAGGATGATGATGAACAGGTTTCCCATCAGTGTCACCAAGTACAAGACCAAGATCACCCCAAAGAGAGCGACTTCCAGATGTGGCCACCTGGAAAAGCCCAGCAAGATGAAGTAGCCTTCAGCAGTAGAATTTCTTCCTATCATCATTCATATTTTCCTATTGCTGAAGAAAACATCACATAAACTTCAAAGAATGTCATGTATTCTCTAATGCTTGAGAGTAAATTGAAAATAAACACACCACTTCCAAGTATATTACTTGTTCTTTTATGAAAGTAGAATATTTTTATATTTCACTCAGTTACGAGTGAATAATTCAGCATGTAACTTTGATCTTTTCATATACCCTAGTTTAGAATATAGATGAATGATATTTCATGGATAGAAAGAATAACTTTTGGAAAATACATTGTAGTAAATGAATTAAATTTATTCTCCATTTTCACTTTTCAGACTGTTTCTGATTTTGCATTTGTAGAGAATGTAGTTCCTCCAGTCTTATCAATACACATAGGTGACAACTTTTCATATGATGTAACACAGTTTGATAGTAATTTTAAAATATTAGTATAGATAAAAATTAACTCCATTGGATTATGTTGATAAAAATAATAAAACACTATTATCATGTATGCCAGCAAGTTACACAACATCCTTATGCATGCAAATAACAGTGAAAATATGCATTCATACATATCAGAGCCCAACATGAGCGCACACAACACAATAAAGCAGATTATTGAAGGAGACAAAGTGGAGAAACCAGTGATGGGTCGTTTGCAATGTTAAACAAGAATAATACTTGTAGCTGAGGGCAACACATTATTACACAGTCTAACAAAATTTAGGGCATGAGCAAGCAAAGGTCTGTGGGTGTGTGGAGAGTTGGTGGGTTCTACTGCAGCACTTGGAGAGAGCAAAATATGTGTCAAGATCTCAACAACAGAACCTGAAGAAAATTTCTACAGTATTTCACATGCTCATACCTGAGAAAACACTTTAATTATGAAGCCCGGTTTATAATTCATGTTCTCCTGGTCTTTAGAATTTGTAAAGTATCCTCTGAAGAGATATTAGCTAGTATTGATAGACAAATAATCAACTCAGTGAATATTTTAACTTGCAGTTATTCCTTGGAGGCAAAGAATAAATTCACATGCACACATCCATTGGTTATTGGTTGTTTATTCTTATGCATCACTCTTTAGGAGGACAATTTTTTATCAAACGTGTCTGTGATTGTACTGGTAACAACTCACCATATAAGTATCCCTAAGTAAATTTTCCATGCTGTTGTTTATGCAAAAGGCAAATTCAGCCACCACAGACCCACATTAATCCTTCAAAGGACTTCTGAAGTTTCAAGAATTATGATCTTGACTCATACACAAAATACTAGAGATTCCAAGTGCATGGGCTTCACTTGAATATCTGGGAAGACTAAGTTTGGTGTGAGATTCTATGACTGAGTCACGCACAAGGTATAGACCACATCTGTGCACTTTTTAGAATGATATAATTAATTTAATTTAAAATTATGATTTTTCCCAAGGGATCCAGTAATGCACAACGAGATTAGATAAGGCAGGAATCCAAGAAAGTTCCCCTAATGACATGATTTTAGGACAATAACTAGGGATAAGAAAACAGTGGAGTGCGGATAGGGATTAGAAGCCAGAATAAGAAACTCAGATTTGCACTGATAAAAAACAGAAGACTTTAAGTGTACACTTTTAATATTGTTGGAAGTGCAAATGCTCATTAACCTTTAGGACAGTAATGTAAAAGTTCCAGAATTTATTTCATATTTCACTGAAATGAGAGTAATGTACTACAGATTACTTGAATTGAAATACTGTGCATAGTTTCTGAGGCAGTGTGATTTGCTTACTGCATCCAGCTGCCTTAATTCATGTCTACATTAATTTTAAAAAGTGGTGGCTATGATAATTCTTCATCTGTTATGTGATCTGTCTCTTGCAGCAATCTTTTTAAAAAGGGAGAATAAGCTAGGTGCGGTAATGCACACCTGTAATCCCAGCCCACAGGAGGCTGAGGCAGGAGGATCATTGTGAGTTGGAAACTAGTCTCTGTTACAAAGTGAGCTCAAGGCCAGCCTGAACTGCATAGGGAGATTCTGTCTCAAAAAAACAAAAATAAATAAAAAATTTAAAAGGGATTCCCTTTTAAATAGGAAATAAGAAGGCAACTCATGTGAAGTTCAGGCACTGAGTTTTTTCCTTGATGGAAAATTGAGAAATGAACACACTTACAGAAGTTTTTATGAGCTATGGTATAACATTCTTGTTCTTTTAAATCAGTCATGCAAAAGGGAATTGGGGTAGAAGGGGAGGAAAAAGTGAGAGAAGAAGAAATAAAAATGATCAAAATATACTAGCTATATGTGTCCATTTCTTATGATGCAGTCATTATGTATTGCAAACAAGAACCTTAATAATACAAATTTTATATAAATAAATCAAATACTATGGCACGGATTGGCAGCTTAATCCTCTCTTCTTAGTCTGATTGTCACTATAAAACATCTATAATTACTGTTATGTTTATTCCTACTTGACTTGGTTTTGATTTTAACAAGCAATTGCTCTATAGGTTTATAGAAGACCATATAGTGATATCCATATATGTTATTAAGTGATTATATCAAGCTAATTACCATTTCTACCACTTCACATATTTATCACATTTTCTTTTTGTATTTTATTTTATAGAGGAAAAATAATAATTTCAAAGATATGAATTTCAAAAACCAGGTAATATGAAATTTATAATGGTTGACATATCATGTACTGTTAACTTCAACGTTGTTACTCGGATCATATAAATATAGGCATGTATAATTGATTAAATATTTGAGCTCAAACAATTTTATTCATGAACTAAGAGAAATCTATAGTATAATGGTATAATTATAGAAATCCATAGTATAATGGTATAATCCATAGTATAATTATCTTAGCTATCGTGTGTGTGTATGTGTGTGTGTGTGTGTGTGTGTGTGTATATATATATATATATATATATATATATATTCCCTTCCTTCTCTTTTCACTCTTTCCACCAGCTGTTCTTTAATTTGAGCTGTGTCTTTCCCTTTCACAATATCTATTGTATATTTCATGTCTTACATTTTTCAGTTTCTTACACTAGGGAGACAATATGGTGTTTACACATGTGGTATGGTTTATTTCACTTGTGAGTATGCATTGATTTATCTATAAAAGCTTGGAATTTATTCCTCTTTATAGCTGAGTAATACTCCACTATCTAAATATACCATAACTTTTTAACGGGCATTGGGGTTATTTCCCAGATTTAGCTATTAAAAATTGTGCTGCCATGAACATGGATGTGTATATATTGCTGTGGTATGATGCCTTTAATTCACCCACAAAAATACCCAGAAGTATCATATCTTCTTAAGAATAATTTCTACAAATCTGTTCTTTAGCAATTTGAAGCATGGGAACTGCCTACCTGATTCTTAATCTGTTCTCCACCTCCTCCTTTCTATTTACATAAAATATTTTATTAGTGATGCCTGTAATATGGAATAGTGATGTTTATTCTAGGGAATAGGAACATACATTGGGGTGACAACTTTGCATTACCCTAACCCTTCCTTGGCCCCTCCTAATCCTCATCCTCAAGACTGAGAGACTGCCTTCCAGCTTTTTGTCATCTTTCCTACCAGCCCCGTTAACCACTCACCTTTCCATGGTTGTCCATGCTCTCATTTGCCTTCATGTCGATCTGAAGCTTCCCTCCTCAAGTGATGCAGTGGCTCTACTTGTCATGTAGCCTAAAACACCAGCCTCGTGTCTCCCTCATGCCATTTTTGCTAACACACTAAATCAAACTATGTGAGAGAAATATGAAGATAAGCTGACTGCAAACAAGAGTGAACCTGAACTTGGTCAAAAGACTTGCTTTTAGCAGGATGTGGGAGCACTTTGGAGGATTCAAATCCCAGCGGATGGCCTCTTGTCCCAAAGGAAATGGGGCTTTTATGGGTACACAAAGAATAATGCACTTTTTTCTTTCACTGGGGATTTGGGGAGAATAAATCCCAGAGTTGCAATTAATGCCCTTCAATGAGCTGTCCTGCTAGAGTAGTAGGAGGTTATTTGTTGAAATATATAGAGCATGATGTACACTTAGTGAGATGACAAAGTCTGCCACATATTAGGATGGGAAACATGCTGTGAGAGACAACTAATTATTAAGACAGTGAGTTGCACTGAGTCAATAGTTTCTCCCAGTTCCTGACAAGGTTAAGGCTCAAATTCGTTGAACAGCCCATGAGAGTGACAGAGGTCTGGGGACCATGAAGTAGGAAAACAAGGCTACATGAACACTAGGCTGCATTTACTGTCCTAGTCAAGCTGGTTCTGGTTCCCAACTGAATGTTTCCTCACTGCATTCCAGTTTACCGATGCTAATGTTTGGAACATTGTCTCCACATCACTCAAATCCTATTTTTTTTTAGTTTAATTGACAAATAATTCTTATTTATGTATGAGGTAAAATGTGATGCTTTTACATATGCTTATGACATGAAATGATCAGGTCAATCTGGTACACAGATTGTTGCAGTGAGAACATTTAAGAATTTCATTAGCAATTTTGAACTATGCCTTAATATTTCTAATCATAGTCACTATACCATACAGCTTGCTCTTCCTACTTCAACCTGACTTTATCCCTTTGCCCAGAATTCATCTTTTTCTTATTCCATTCTCCCCAGCCATCTCTAGTCACCCTCATTCTCTCCCAACTGCCATCAGTGACTTTTTAGATGTCAGGTAGGATAGCCATCACACAACATTTGTCTTTCTGTGTCTGACTATTGCAGGTAGCCTAATATCAGCTGAATTTATACAGGCTGTCACACATGGTAGAATTTTCTTCTCTCTTTGAGGCTTGGTAGTATCCCACTTACAGATACATCATTTTCTTTTTCCTCTCATTTATAAGTGATATTTATCTTTCTTCCATATCTGGTCTATCGCAAATAATAATGCACTGAGTGTGGTAGGGTAACACAGCACTAAAAATGATCAATGTATTGACAGAGTTCTATATGAAAGAACTTTGAAAACATGTGAAGTGAAAAACGTCTCCAAAGGCCACAATTTAAATTATTGCATTTGTATGAAAATGCAAAATAGACATATTTGAGTGAAGATAAAATATACTAGTGATTTTTAGCACCAAGTTTTGGGGAGAGATATTGAGACTGGCTGCTAATGGGTACAAGGCCAAATTGGGAGATGATAAAATTATTCTGAATTAAACAGTGGTCTACATGCTAATGTAGATTAGAATTTAGCATGTAAATTTTATTTTAAGCTCTTACTTGGTGAATTCTTGTTTTTTGTGTGTTCAAAAAAAAGTTTCATTTAATTTTCTTTATATAGAGTAAAATAGAGCTCAATAGTGTTTGGGAGTTTACCTAGTGAAGTGTGAATCTTTTAGAGATGAGTGCACAAAGAGCAACCTCAAATAAACTTATTTATCACACAGTGTCAGCATTGGAATTAAATCTGAATATTTAAGTTTCTTTTTAGAGAAAATGCAGTAACATTTTTGTCTTAATAGTAAAACAAAATAACATGCATTTTGCAATACCATTATATCTGCCACTACTTATGTAGCTAGTGCCTATTTTAGCATAAATTACCTGTAATATGAATGAGTATTCTTCCAGATTCTCTATTTCCCAATGATTGATTCATGTATTTTTGTTATACATAAATATTTGTATTACATTCTTATAAGAAGTTTTTAAATCTCCTGTCATAAATCCTAGTTTTTCATCTTTTTCTAAATTACCTTAGTTTCCAAAATTAACATTTGATTAAAAATATCATTTAGAATATTGCATTATGTTCATGATATTTCCATTGAACATGAGCAATCTGAATCCAGTCAAGCTGTAGCATGGACATGCTTTTAGTAAGATCTATTATAGCAATCAAGAACAAATTCACATGAAAGAATTTAAAAACTTTTACTGGTGGCAAGAAAGGAAGCACTATAGAGTTATAGTCCATAAAATTTTGGCACAGGTTATCTGGGTTGTTGAAAAGACTAGCATTAAAAAGAATCCATGATTGCATTGGAGTCAGAAGGAAGGATGCCTTGAGGGCATTTTAGGAATCAGTATGCCCTGTCCTTGGCAGACTCAAGGGTCTATAATTGGAAGACTTTAAATGAAAAGAAAACCCCAGGATCTTGGGGTTTTTATTTTTATTTTAAAAAGAATAATATCAAGCAGAATAAAGCCAATCAAAACAAACCAGTGTAAGTAACACAGAACTTCCAAATAATAGGAGATGAACAATAGTTACTATAATGTCTCCTGGTATTTTCAAAATGGCATGCTAAAAATCAAACAGAACACAGTAGCACTAATAAAACCAAAGCAATGAATGCAATAAATGTCTTCATAACAAGATAATATTAAATCCAAAATGGTTACCATAATATATCTTGTTATCTTTGAAATAGCTGCCCATGTCATCAGATATAATAAAATTGAACAAAATCAAACAGAATAAAACCTTCCCCAACTAACAATGAAAATTATACCAGACCTCAAATCAAGATAACAGAGAATTAACAATGGCTACCATCTTCAACCGGTGATCCCTTGTAGATGCTCCATTGTGAATTGTTATCATCTGAATAGATAATCAAACTACTGGCTTTACATCTACAAAGTCAGTGAAACATTAAACACTACAACCATTAAATTGTACTTTATCTCAATAGCTATCAAAGTGTGCTTCTCTGGACCAGCCAGTCGCTTATGGTTGAGGTAAGGGTGGGGAGAGTGGTTCTTCTTGTTTCCCAGCACTGGAAGGATCTGGCATCTGGCTTTACCAACTGTGGCCTGTGCGTGATGCCAGTTCACAGGGAGGGCCTGATTTTTGGCGATTTCTTGTTTTCTTCTCCCATGAACTTCTCCCATAGTCCATGAATGTTGCTGACTCAAGGGAAAATGCTGGAGGATCTTGTTTCTTTAAGGATTTCAAGGTATTTATTTCACTGTGTTCAATCATCCAAATACTTGGTGTCTTCTGCATCCATGATTCAAAGGGACATGACAACTGATGAAAGACCTTGGTATCATTCACAAGGAATTTCAACTTGAACTTCTCAGCAATAGCAGAGCTGTTAAAACTTAGGTGACTCCTGGAAACAAACTAAACACTTTTAGTATAAGATGTATTCATGAGTGGGTTTTTTTTCCAGGGGTGGGGTGTGTGTGCAGAGGCATGATGTATGTCTTGGATTTATAATGTGTCTCAAACACCCCATGCAAGCATAGGTTATGCTTTTGGAAGATGATTAGATCATGGAGTGAATATATAGCTGACTGTGGTCAGAAGGTGAGGTCTGCTCAGAATTGACAGGTCATGACAGGTGCAAAATGGAGCAACATGTCTCCCTCTTGGTCTTGATTTTTTTTTCACTTCCTTGTAATCTTGACATGAACACTTTTGTCCATTGTGCTTTTCCATCATTCTGTTTCTACGTGCTTGCTGGTCACCATGCACTGCAGCCATGAATCAAAATAAACCCCTGCAGTTTTAAGTTGCAAAACTGGGCATTGTGTCAGCAAAAAGAAAAGTGAGTGAGACAAATTTACTAAACTAAATAAGTTGAGAGACATTCTGCAACCCTCAGAGGCATAAAATAAAGGAAGACAAAATAAAAAATATGACAACAAAAAGGCAAAGCAAAAATAAAAAACAAAGGCAATGCATGATTTTAAATTAAAACTTTTGCTTAAGGGATATATTAGGGGTAATTTTAAAAATTTAACTACACAACAATCTAAATGGATCAAAGATCTGAATATTAAAACAGAAACACTAAATCTATTCAAATAAATATTGTGTAAAAACCTTTAAGGCATAGGCGTAGGTAGAGAATTCATGAACAGGAATCAAACTCCATGGGAAATAATTCCCAGAATCAGTAACTGTGACCACCTCTTATTAAAAAGTTTCTGCACAAAAAAGAAATTTCCAGCATAGTAAAAAGAAAACCCACAAACTAGGGAAAAAGTCTTAGTGAACTGTTCCTCGGACAAAGGAATTCTGTCTAAAACATATAAAGAATTTTAAAAAATAGACCCCCAAAGTTTCAAAGATCCAATCCAAAAAAGGGCATCTGAGATGAATACACACTTCTCAGATGAAGAAATACAAATGGCAAATAAATACATGAAAAACTGTTTACCATCATTACACATTAGAGAAATCCAGATTAAAACCACACTGAGATTCCATCTCACTCCTGAAAGAATGGCCAGAATCAAGAAAACCACCAATGACAAATGCTGGAGAGGCTGTGGGGAAAGAGTAACTCTCCTGCACTGTTGGTGGGAGTGTAGAGTGGTGCAGCCATTGTGGAGGTCAGTCAGGAGATTTCTCCAAAAGCTGCTATTGGAAGTCCCATTATTCCAGCTATTCCACTTCTAGGCATATTCCCAGAAGTGAAAACATTCTACCACAGTGATATATCTACACCCATCTTTATAGCAGCACAATTTGTAATCATTAGATCTTGGAAACAATTTAAATGCCCACCAACTGAGGACTGGATAAAAAAGATATGGTAATTTTATACAATGGAGTACTACTCTGCTATAAAGAATCATCACACAGAGATATTAATGAGTAAATGGATGCAACTCAAGACCATACTCATAAGTGAAATAAATCAAACTCACATGTGTAAATACTGTATATTCTCCCTAGTGTAAGAATTTGTAAGAGTATGTAAGATACAAAAATATCAATAAATACAGTGAAAGAATAAGTATCTGCTTAAAGGGAAAATGAGGAAAAATCAAAAGGAAGAGAAAGAAAAATATCTAAAATTATATAAACACACTTAGGATAGCTAAGATGATTGTGCTACAAATTCCATAAGTTTTGAAACAAAACAGGTAACATTCATAAGATTGGAACAGTTGTGCACATTATTATATGGTGATCTTAGGAACTTTTAAAGATTGTTATGTAAAATAACCGTAGTTATGCTCATACCACCTTGTTTTGAAGGCCTATATTGTTGGTATTCTGGCCTCTGTGCTATTGTTGTGTATATTCCTTTTTTGTTTCATGTTTTTCTAGGAATTTGTTTTGTTTTGTCTTGTATTTTGTTTTCCCTCTACTAGATAAAGAATAGGCATACATGTAGAAATTCATGCATGCATAGAACTTCTAGAGAGTTTATGAGAATCAATTATATAATGCATGATGAAATGAACAGCTACTTTGAAGAAAAAGAGACACTAAGGTACCTAGGGCTTATTCCATAGCATCATGGTGCAAAATCGAGCCATACTATTATTCTTTGTTCAGAGTTATTTTAGTCCATTTTGTATTGTTTTTAATTTCACCATACCAGAAGGGATGAATAGCTATTTTAAAAGACTGAGAGACACTATGACAGCCATTGTTGAACTACCTATATTTGGTCTTGAAGACCTAAAATGCCTTCATTATCCTCTTATGATCAATTTTGTACTATTTTGTTTTGTATAAATTCATTGTATGTGAAGATATGGACAATTATCTGGAAGAAAACAAGAGACAATATGATAAACAGATAAGGTCTCTGGTTGTCTCTATTTGCTATCTGCATCAAAGTCCTTCTTTATCTCAGTTTTCCCCTTTGTCTCTCAGTTCCTAGAACAGGACCTTTTATTGAGAATAATAAATGCTTTAGAAGAGAAACTTAGCAATGAATGTGAGGTGTCCTATTTACTTCCTCATCTTTGAGACACAACACCCTAACCCCACAACTCTAAAAAAGGAAAGGTTTACTTTGCCTAATTTTGTTGAGGTTTCAGTTGCCTCCAAGACACAGGGTCAGGGCAGAGAAGAAAGCATGTCATGACATGTTGGTAGAAATCAGACAGGAATTCAGAGAAAAGAGGAGAATAGATCACACATCAAGTAACCCACCTCCTATGACCAGGCTTCACCTCTCAGATCATATTTTAGCCATAAGCCATCAGTGGAAAAATCCACTGATAAGTATCATGCATCCCTGATCCTGCCTCCTCCCTAAAACGTTTCCTGTGACTTCATGAGATTTTCAACGGACATCTAAATATAAACCATAATAACATCAAAGTATTTTGAAAAATTACTTTCATGAAAATTAGATACTGGGAAAGATAAACATTTGAAGTTTAAGGGCAGATACTTCTAAACAAGCTATCTTAGTACTACTACTCTGATTTAATGCTAAAATAGGAAACCCAAAATATTATCATGGTCTTATAGTCAGAATAGAACATGTGATAGTTGATGAAACCGTTATGGCAAAATTCCATTGCAGAAGCAATCTCATCATTTCAGGGATTGGTTTCCTAAGGTTTCCCAATTTCCCCCTCCTATTTGTACTATGTAATGGGGAGAAATACATTGTGGAGAAAGAATTTTTCTATAGATTCTCTGACTTGTACAGTGATAGGTGTCAAAGGGGGTTAATTCTAGTTTCTGGAATTACTTCTGGGCTACCAAATTAATAACAAAAATGAATAACATGTCCCCTGACATTATAAGTGATTCATGGTTAGACAGTAACACTAATGATTGAAGATATTTAATTATGTTGTATACATATACTAATATGCCAGAATGAAACCCATTGCTCTATATAACTAATATGCACTAATAAAAAGAGGAAAAATCCCAAAATCTGGTTAAAGTTGACTGCATAAATGTAAACTATTACTGAGTCAGAGGTTTGATTATGTCATTGTCCTTTTAAAATACTAATAAGTGTGCCAGCTGTGCTTGAAGAACTGTGGAGTTCCAAGCAAGCAGGCGGGTGCCCACTTTCCCCGGAGTCCAGCTTGTTTGGGACCCTCACACCTTCCTGGTGCACTGGAACAGCTAGATGGGTATGGGGCACCTGCATCCAGCTTCCCGTGTGCTTGGAGGACTGTGCAGGTCTCAGCAAGAAGGAGGGAACCCACTTACCCCAGAGTCCAGCTAGTTTGGGACCCTCACACCTTCTAAGTGCACTAGAACAACTAGGCGCGTCTGGGGCACCTGCATCTGCCTCCCAGTTCCCAGCTATGCTTGGAGGACTGTGGAGTTCTAAGCAAGCAGGCAAGCACCACCCATTCCAGAGGCCTGGCATCCTGGGGTAAGTGCCCTGCACACTTTTCCCCGAGTCCAGCTTGTTTGGGACCCTTGTGACTTCTGGGTGCACAGGAACAACTATGCAGGTGTGGGGCACCTGCATCAACCTCCCAGTCCCCAGCTGTGCTTGGAGGACTGTGGAGTTCTAAGCAAGCAGGCAAGCACAACCGGTTCCAGATGCCCGGCAGTCTGAGGGAACTGGATTACAGAGACCTAGGAGCTGAGGACATAGAAGAGGATTTCCAACAGACCCTGGGGAAGCCTCAGAATAACACTTGAAACACAAAAATATAGGAAAATGACAAAATGAAAGACCAAGTTACAATTTCAAACCTCCAGCCCATTGCAAGAAACCTTAGGAGCAATGTATATAGAAGAAAGTATATGCCATACACCTCAAATATCAAACATAATAGCAACTGAAATAAACAAGCAACTCCGGGAAGCTTTGAAGGAATTAAAATTGGAAATAATCTCCCAGGTAAAAGAAGAAATGATAAAAGAAATGAAAAGGTGCTGAATGTACCTAAAGAAAACACAGTTAAAGAATTGAAGGAACTAAACAAAAAGATAGAATCCCTAGATGAGCAATATAAGAAACAAACAGAATACATAAAGAAGATGCACATACATATACAGTAAATAAAAATTCCATTGAAAGCTGTAAAAACAGCATCAATAAAAGTGAAGATAGAATTTCAGACCTTGAAAACTAGATTGTAGCTAGTGAACAGTAAAGGAAAGATCTTTTAAAAATAACAAAGATCAGGGTATAACAAATCAACAACTGCAAGATGATGCAAAGAAAAATAACATAAGATTAATAGGGTTTAATGAAAAAGAAAGGGATGATGTAAAGGACATCAAGAGGATATTTAGAGATGTAATAGCTGAAAATTTCCCAAACATGAGATTGGAAACCGACATCAGGATCAGTGAAGCATACAGAACTCCAAATAGTCATAAGCAAAATAATACTACACCCAAACATATAATAATCATCATCCCAGAAATCCAATGCAAGACTAGATTATTAAAAGCTGTCAGAGAGAAAAGGTACATCACTTATAAAGGAAAACCTATCAGAATCACAGCAGACTTCTCAGCACAAACAATAACATCAAGAAAAGCATGGAGTGAAGTATTCCAGATGCTAAAGGAAAATGATTTCCAACCTAGACTGATGTACCTTGAAAACTATCCTTCAAAATCGATAGTGAAATAAGATACTTCCATGACAAAGAACAGCTGAAGAACTTCATGATCACCAAGCCAACCCTGCAAATAATATTTAAAAATAGTTTAGATACACTTAGGAAAAAAACACTAAGCAAAGCAGATAACTATACAGAACAGAAAGATAAAGGTGCAACAGCTGAAAGATAACATGTCAACAATAAACCAACATGTAACAGTTATAACCATTAATGTGAATAGTCTCAATGCACCAATTAAAAGAAACAGACTGGTGGAATGCATCAAGAAACAAAATCCAACCATATGCTGTTTACAGGAAACCCATCTAACCCAGAAGGATACGCACAAACTGAAAGTCAAAAGATGGAAAACAATACTTCACACAACAGAAAAAAAAAAAAAAAAAAAAAAAAAAACAGGAGTAGACATCCTGTTTGCAGACAAGGTGAACTTTAAACCAATAATGATCAGAAGAAACAAAGAAGGTCACTACATACTCATTGGGGGAAAACTTCAAGAGGAAGAGATATCTATCTTAAATATACATGCACCAAATTCCAGAGCATCCAGTTATATAAAACAAGTATTAACAGAAATAAAAATCAAATTATAAGTAACACAATTATAACAGGAGACCTTAACACACCATTAACACCAATGGAAAAATCATCCAGACAGAAAATCAGCAAAGAAATAGCAGAAATGTATTACACATGTGAACAAATGGACTTAATAGACATATACAGAGTGTTCCATCCAACAACGTTAGAAAACACATTCTTCTCAGCAGTACATGGGCCATTCTCTAAAATAGAACAAATATTAGCTGAGAGAACATAGTTAAATAAATGCAAAAGAGTTGAAATAATCCCTTGCATGTTATTGGATC